TATTAAGTTTGTGTAATACTCATGCACATATTTTAATAGCGTATACGGGTAAAACCGACCCCACTAAGCATATTGATTTTCCGGTGAGGTAAACGGAGCAGAAACATGATCGTAAGGAGTCGGATCAGAGCGATGAGCCCATCGTATCAGGGATCGAGCAAAATACCTGCCATCGGGGGCATCAGGACCACGTCCTCCGGGTCCGGTTCGAGCTCCGAGACTTCGGAGAGCATTACCAAACAACCGCACACGACTAACAAAGGGTCGTGATATCCGTGCCCAACCGGATATCACGGCGTGAATCTCGGCCCGTATCGATCGACAGAAAATCAGCGATTAGCGAAACAGAAGATTTTTACATTTTTACTTAAGATAAAATTCTCTCACTATATAAAGGTGAAGCTTATTATTCATTAGGAATATTGTAACACGCATATCAAGACAATTTACTTCTATTTTCTCAAACGTTTATTCAAAGTTCTTATTTTTTCCCATAAGTTTTTCATAAGTGCAAGTTGGGTACCGAAGGCAGTTTCCTTATTAAGCTATTAATCGAGCTTGGGATCATTCTTGTCATTGGTTTGATCATTTATTACGTCTTTTATTTACTTAATTTAATGTCATTGATCACTTATATTGAATTAATCCACGCATCCTTAAAATTGCGTATAAATTCAATTGTTATCCGTTTTTAAGGGTAAACAAATAATTAATAGGGCAATATTAATATTTTTTTTAAAAATTTATATACACGTGCAACACACATGTTCAGAAAGTAGCGTGTCTTCTAGAAAAATCCATAAAAATGTCTCCAAACTATGGAAACCAATGCCTTATCCAATATAATCGTAAACCTAAATTTATCTAACAAATCGAATTGTAATAATAAACCGATATCACTCAATATAAAATTATGCGTGATTAGTCCACTTGCACATTAAGGACAAGGATTACCTTCAATTTCTCACCATATTATAGGGTAGTCCCACAGATAAAATATCCCAATTTTTTCAAAGGATAAACCCTTCAAAAGTCAATATCAATATGTCTACTTCACCAACTCTATTTTCAGTACTGTTGTGAAAAGAAGAAAAAGAGGCCATAGCCTAATCCAATATGAAAGCTGTGGGCTTTCCTATTACGTGTGCTATTCCTAGGGGTGCCCTTCAAAATAAATAAATAAAATACAAAAAAACTACATTTAAGATGTGATCTTGAGCTTATCTGTTTTCTTTCATGTGCCACGTTATATTGTATATACAATCGAACCTCCGTATAACAACCTTGTTTGTTTCGGATATTTTTGGATATTATACTATATTTTTTATAACAACCTCATTTATTTCGAATATTTTTAGATGTTATAGCGAATTGCTGTTATAAAAAACATATATTATAAAAGAACATGAAATTTAGTTCTGGAAAAATTTGACTTTTATAGGGAAGTGTTGTTATATAAGGATGATGTTATAGAGAGGACTGTACATGAAACATATTTTAATGGTATTAATAGCCAATTTGGCTAAGCTTTTTTAGCCAAAAGTATTTTTTTTCTTAAATTAAGGTATTTGGCAAAGGGAAAAAAGTGCTTTCGGATAGAAGCAAAAGTATTTTTTGAGAATTAGTTTTTGAAAAGAATAGTTTCTCTCTAAAAGCTTGGCTAAACACTAATTGTTGTTCAAAAATACTTTTCAAATTAATTAACATTTCTCACCAAAAATATTTTTTTATAAAAACACTATTAAGAGACGTATTTTTCAAACTAAATTGATTTCAGAAACTTGGCCAGTGTATGTATATATATCCATTATTTTAATAGTTCCAACAAACCAAAAAAAAACAAGCAAGTTATTACAGTATCGGGGGATTGGATCAAAATGCAGTTTGGTCATTGGGACATATTTACTAGTAATAATGAGATTGAAATAAATCTACTAATTTTTATTGCATTTGATTATGCAAAAATTCAAATTAGTATATCTAATTCTAATTAGGGATAACATTTAAATTGACATTTGGCAAGATGAACTTGATATGTCTTTCCACGTACCTTGTACGATCCAAAAGTATAAGCCAATGGTAAGACAAAAGGAATCCCACAATTGATTATTTCTTTAGGCCTTTTCTCACTCCTTCAACTAAGAAATTTAAATCAGCACTTGAAGTGCACTAAGCAGAATTGTCATGCAAATGCATGTTTTAAAAACACTTTTCTTAAGGTGAGGGTTAATCGGATACGACTTCTTCATTTTACACAAGATAAAGATAAGGTCGGCGTGTGCACTCTACCCTCCTTAGACGTTACTTGTGGAATCATACCAGAGACAGAGCGAAGATTTCAATTTTATGGGTTCTGCACAAGTGGCTAGGTAGAAAATACCTAGTGGCGCGAGATAACTCTCTCCTTTGAACTAAGCTATTTATCCTGGCCGAAAGAGAACTCTTTCTAAGAACTGCCCTCTCTCGGCTGGATCTTGGTCCATCTTACTACGGGGATCCCGTATCCAGCAACCCAAAATATACAAAGGGCATCAAAGCCCCTTGACTAGGTTGGAACTATAAAGCTTACTTTATTTATTATTATTAAAAAGGAAAAGTGTCTTTTCAGCTGGTGTTCATAATTAGGTTCTAAATTTAATATTTTTACATATTTAATAAAAAATTTAATACAAATAAAGTATTGGAGTAAAAGTTACTGGGTTCTGCCGAACCTAGCTCCCCGAACCCCACCGGATATTTTGCTAGTTATTATTGTTGCTTTTCAGTTCTTCATTTAGGTTCAGTCCCCTCCCCTCTCTTATTTGGTTTTTGCGTTTTCTCAAATGTTATTTATTTATTATTCATTTATCTATTTTGGTTTTAAAATTTGTTTTGTTTTTTTGTCTGTCTAGAGTGATGAGGGAATGGGGATGACAGAGCTAGAGAATTGCCAAGAAACTTCGCTAATAGGATGCATGATTTCCGGCCATGACACGCGAGGTTGTGACCCATCTAAGATTTTACGTAAATATTATTGATTTATTATTACAAATTGACTCCATAATGGACCTACATTATATTTTTATATTGGACACTAGTAATAGTATACAAATATATTAATAGTATACAAATATAGCATCCGAAGTAAAGATTCTAGATTAAAAGCAATTGATCACATATGACATCAAAATTTTGGATTCTTCGCTGACTTGATTTATAAGTGTGCTTAATTTTTTGAAGTTATAATAGTTTTAAAATTTTACTTACTGTCTGAAGTTGATATTTGTTTTGTAGTATTTGTTTTAAACAATGATACTTATAATTTATATTAAAACAAAACAGGGGTGGATGCACGCTTATAAGCGGTGTCACACGACACCGCTTCGTCAGAAATTTTTATTATATATATATATTAATACCGTACGAAAACGGATAGGTAGGAAAAAATGACATAACTTAACATAAATTATGTCTTGGTGTGTAGGTTATGTGTTTGATTTTGTTCTAAGAGATCAAAGGTTCAAACCTCCACTAACACATTTTTCTTTTGCAAATATTTGAGAGAGCTATTGTGGTTAAAAAAATTGTGATGAAGTAGAATTGAACTCAAAATATTTTCTAACTTAAGACTCAACAAAACTAATAGACTAAGACTATTTCTTGTCTAAAAGAATGATAATTAAAGTTATATTCCAGTTTTTCTATAAATTTTGACACCGTTTATAAAAATTTCTGCGTACGCCACCGACACCAAATATATCTTGTAGGTGTTTTCGAGGAAGCAAATGACATCCTTGTAGAGAGCTGTCTCCGCTATTGACTCATTCACTGAATAAACTTCCAAGTAAAGTTAAAGAGCAAAACAAAAGCAAATAAACAAAACAACTTATTAATCTGTGTGAACCAAAGTAAAATCAGACGATAAGTAAAAAAGTAACCCTATTAACAGTAAAATATAGAGAAATTTACCTTTGTACAGCCGCTCGCCCACCAAAATAATAGCCGATATATTCTACAAATGATTAGTGTAAATTTTGTATATTTAATTAGCGAATATGTTTATCGATGTCCTAAAATGTATTGTCGGTGACAAACGGTTAGGCCCTTCTCGGAGAAAAAACAAAAGAAAAAACAAACCATCAAAGCTGACTCATTAGGGAAAAGGAAAGCAACAGCTGAGTAATTATAATAATTGAGTTAAACCAATAATAATTTTTGGAATTGATCTCTGATAAATAGAGCCAGATCGTTGTTACTCCCTCCATCAGTCAAACGGATGTTCTTTAATCACAAAATGAATGCCTTTTAAATATTTAAATATTTATGATTCATAATACTTTTTGCGTAATTTTTAAATTTTTACTTCGAAAAATTTAAAAATTCTATGTTCAAATATTCGATCAAAATTAAGAAATTTGAATCTTGAAAAGCAAAAAGTGTCACATATATTAACACATAAGAGTATTATTTTCAGTTGTGTTGTTGGTGTTAAGCTAGCACTCTCTTCCGTCCACTTTAAGTGATTTTTTTGGCTTTTTTTATACATATTAAAGAATTCATCTTTTAGCATTAATTAATAATAAAATTGACCATATTAACCTTAATTTGTTCATTGAAAACATACCAAGCTACCCCTACGCTCTTTACTCACATGACAACTTTGGAAAAAAATTTAATTCTTTCTTGATTTATAAAAATATTAAATATCATAGATCACAAAAAAAGACTAAAAAATCACTTAAAGTGAACCGGAGAAAGTATAGTATAATAACCAAAGTTCACCGTTCGAAGCACGTAAAAATGAATATAATTCAGTTTGTTCTTATTACTATTATTATTGTTGTTATTTTTAGTATATACCAATTTAAACTAATGATAAACAAAGCTATATACTAAAAACAAATGTGGTATCAAACAAACACAATCCCAAAATTTTCTCTCCCCTTTCTTTGGTCCACCACTCTTTTATTTTTATCCCTCTCTCCATTTCTCTATCATTTCTCCTATTTTTCCTTTATATAATCCTCTAATCTTCACTTATTCTCCTTAGGGACTAGCTCAACAAAAGCAAATCCCAATACCATTCCCAATTCCTCAATTTCAGTTCATTCTTGTAACAATGGCATCTTCACTTGATACAAGCAAAGTAATGAAATTAGAGAGATATAATAGCTATATTCGAAGAGTAAATAGCTCAAAACTTATTGCAGCTTCTTCTAAGCTTCTTTTTAGAGTTACTCTTTTAGTAGCTCTTTTGCTAATTTTTTTCTTTACCATAAATTACCATCCTTTAAATTCAGAAAATACTCCACATCATCATATTCACACCACCACTCATAGCCTCCTCTCCTCCGCCTTCTACGGCGGCGGCGCCGCTTGGGAAAAACAAGTCCGCCACTCTTCCACTCCTAGGCGTGCCAATGGTTTATCCGTATTGGTTACAGGTTAGATCAAAGATATATAGGTGAAAATTTTAAAAATTATTACTGCTTTCTGTTTCAATTTAGATCACAATTTTCTTATTAGTCCATTCCAAAAAAAAAGTATGTGTTTCTATAATTAAAAATAATTCAAACTTTAAACTTTTTATTTTACTCATTTTACCTTTAATAAGAAGTTTTTATAACCATACAAACGTCATGGCTCTACAAAATTTTTACCCATTAAACTTTTAAGATCACAAGTTGCAAAAGTTTCTTTTTTTTAAACTCCGTGTTGAATCAAACTAAGCGTCTATTGGAAATAGTCTCTCTTCTAGGATAGGTGTAAGGCTGCGTACATACTACACTTTCAAAACGACACTTGTGAGGATTAATTGGGTTTAATTTGTTGTTGTTTTTGTATGTTTCTAGTTGAGATTTTCAAAAAATGTAAAATTAGAGATTAAATACTGAATCCTCTTTTGCAGGTGCGGCTGGCTTTGTTGGTTCTCACTGTTCAATGGCATTGAAGAAACGTGGGGACGGAGTCTTGGGAATAGACAACTTCAACTCCTATTACGACCCATTATTGAAACGTGGGCGTCAGAAGTTACTGGCGCAGCACGAGATCTTTATCGTGGAAGGTGATATAAATGATGCCGAGTTGTTATCCAAACTATTTGATATTGTTCCATTTACACACGTCCTTCACTTGGCCGCGCAAGCGGGTGTAAGGTATGCGATGAAAAATCCACAATCTTACATCAAGTCGAATATAGGAGGATTTGTTAACTTATTGGAGATGGTCAAGTTAGCTAACCCTCAACCCGCAATCGTCTGGGCATCGTCCAGTTCGGTTTACGGGTTGAACACAAATGTACCTTTTTCTGAAAATCATCGTACGGATCAACCCGCTAGCCTTTATGCCGCCACAAAAAAAGCCGGTGAAGAAATTGCACATACATATAACCACATTTACGGTCTTTCTTTAACTGCATTAAGGTTTTTTACTGTTTATGGACCGTGGGGTAGACCAGACATGGCCTATTTTTTCTTCACTAAGGACATGACACAAGGGAAACCAATAAATGTGTACGTAACACAAGATGATAAAGAGGTGGCGCGTGACTTCACGTACATCGACGACATCGTTAAAGGGTGTCTCGGGGCACTTGACACGGCGGAGAAGAGCACCGGTAGCGGCGGCAAAAAGAAAGGTCCGGCGCAGTTAAGAGTGTACAATTTGGGTAACACTTCACCTGTGTCGGTGAAGAAGTTGGTGACAATTTTGGAAAGTTTATTAAATGTGAAGGCTAAAAAGAATGTGATTAAAATGCCAAGAAATGGTGATGTCCCATTTACACATGCTAATGTGTCTTTGGCTTATAGGGATTTTGGATATAAGCCAACCACAGATTTGTCAAGTGGATTGAGGAAGTTTGTTAAGTGGTATTTGAGTTATTATGGGATTCAATCAAAGGTAAATAAGGAATTAGACTCCCCTAATGACCATTCCGAAGATTAAGTAATAACAGTGGTATTCAGCTCATTTTGCCCGAATTCCACATGTTACTTTGGATAATTCTATCATCTAAAGCTTAGGTAGATGGAAAGCAAAAAAGATTTTTGTTTTTTCACATATTTACACTTTTCTTTTTTCCCTTTTTATTGATGTATTTGAATATATATTGAAGTGTATTTTTATATTTTTTAGAAATTAGAGTATAGGCATATAATTTATATAACAAGTGGGAGAAGGGTGGGCAAGTGTAGATCTGTGAAGTGGGGTTGTAATAAATGTTTTAGTAGTCTTGTTTGTATGTAAGATTATTAGGAAAAGGAAAAATAGGCTGGAATTCTGTAAAACAATTAGTGCAGATCAGCCTCTCAATCAAATCAAGAATTGTAATGAGTTGGAATAGCAATGATGATTAAATCAAGATTCTCTTCTATGCTTTCTTTTGCTTTATTTAATTATTTATTTGATTTTTTATTCGTGATCTTTTGTATTGTTTTTATATTTAAAGAATTAAAAAGGAGTTTTGGCTTTTCTTTTTCTCCTTTGATAGCAAGTTGATCGTATGAGATCTTCTAGAAGATACCTTCATTGATTGGAGATAAGTAAAATTCTCCGAAATTCATATTTCATAGTACACCATTCATCTACAAATTTCTTGTATAATTTAAATGACATAATTTAATTTCTTTTATCCGTATAATTATTTTTGACATATGAGAGAATGTAGGTCAACTTCGTATTAGAAAACAAGACTTGAAAAGTTTAATTGAAAAAAGAAGAGAAAATGCAAGAGATTCCTTAAAACCAAACTGAAGCTGCACATCCTGTTCCAAGGATATATCAGTAGGCAATTACAAGACAAGAGCATTTACTCTTGTACTTTTTCTTTGTGTTTTATCCCTTTCTCGTGATTTAAAGAATTGGAAAGGAAGGACAATAATAAGTAGCATACCTTCGTACTTGTTTTGCCCAAAACTTATAAACTTTTTGCAACTACTATTCTCCCTAGGGTCGTTTAGCTATCTTTAGTCCTTCAGCTATAGTATCAAAGAACCGTACGGTGCACAAATCATCTCGTATTTATGCAGAGTTCGGAGAATAGCATCCCAAGGAGTTTGATATAGACAGTCTATCTTGATGCAAGTATAAGAGACTGATTTTACAACTCAAACTCATGATATATAGGCCACACAGAGACAACTTTAACATTGCTTCAAGACTTTCCTAACTCTACCAACAACTATCATACATATGCACACACAAAAAGTTGTGTGATATATATGTGTTTGCATATATAAACTTATATTCTTAACTATGACTATTTGGTATGCACTCTCAACCTTATTTTATTATTTAATTATAATAAGTTTATATAGTACCATTTAGCGTAAATACCGAAAATGCTCATAAGTATTTTCCGATCATCTCTCATTTATTTGCATGTTTCTCTGCAATTAGTAAGGAGCACTATGAAAGTTGCATGCAGCTAATTATTAATGTTATGACATGGAAGGCTGATATGACTGAAAATATTTAATGCTGTTGTTTCTTAAGTTGCTATCTATATTCTTTTCTTGCTTTTCAAAGAGCAAAACGCAATTTGTCCTCTATCCGAATATCATAATGCTATCTATAAACTTTGTCAACCTCAAACACCAACGCTAAAGATCTAAATATACAACAAACAATAAACTCGGTATAATTCTATAAATGGGGCATGAGAAAGATAGTATGTATGCAAATTTTACCCTTACCTAATAGAAGTAGAAATATTATTTGCGATAGACCTCGGTTTAGGAAAAAAAGGAAGCAGTAGAAATAGATAGTAACATCAACAAAATAATAAGATAACTTAAACGAACGAAACAATAGATAATAATAGAGATATAAGAATAGGAAAATACAAGAATAATACTAATACTACGGGTAAAAAAAGGACAAACTCTTGACTACCTACTAACCTTCTACCATAATTCTTGACATTCATACCTTCCTATCAAAGGTCATGTCCTTAATAAGTTGAAGTAGCGTCATGTCATTTCTAATCACCTCTTCCTAGTACTTTTTTGGCCTACTTCTACCTCTCCTCAGATCCGCCACGGCCAACCTCTCAAACTTTCTAACAGGGACATCTATACTTCTCCTTTTCACGTGTCCGAATCATCTCAACCTCGATTCCCGCATATTTGTTTCCACGGGAGCCACTCCCACCTTATCCCATATAACTTCATTCTAAATATCTAATCTTATTTCTCATGGTATGTTCATACATCCATCTTAGCATCATCAATTTTATACTTTTATTTTTTGAACATGGAAGTTTTTGACTGGCCAATACTCAATCCCATACAACTGAGATCCAAATATGTACTTTCCAACTCCAAAGGTTGTTACCCAATGATAAAACTAAAAGGTGACAGAAAATACATAAGTGCGTATTCCTTTGTGTTTGTGCGTTTGCTTTATATATCTTTTTCTTACTTCTTATTTTATTTTTATCTTTATTCGGTATAATGTTAGTTCTGCAATGAATTTGAATAAAAAAATATGCTGGCCGAAGATTCATACAGTCAACTCCAACTTATTTTGGAGTGATGTGTAGTTATTGTACATTGTCTACCACAATTGCAAAAGAGATGTTCAGATAAACATTTGAAATATACTTTTAGAAATTGGTAAAATTAAAGTAAATTAAAATTTTAAACCTCAAACCCTAAGCAAGAGATTGACCTTCAAGAACAGATATTGCATCCCTTTGAACTAAATATCCACTAACAGGTATCAGTGTTGGGTTATAAATGGGCTGGCTGGCTAATCAAAGCCCAGACAAAATAGGCCCATGAGGTTCTATTGACCCACAAATTGCAACAAACAAAGCCCAAAGTTTCATTAGAAAAACTCCACAGTTAAGTTGGTAAACAAATAAAGACAAAATTACATCAAATATCACTTGGGGTCTGCCGCTCATCCGAAAATGACCCACATTTGAAGTCCTAACCCGGTTTGGCCCAGGTTATACATATTTTTGAAATTTTCTTTGCATCTATTAGCCCACATTAAATTGTAAGTCAACTTTTCCTTTTTTTTATTTGGCTTTCTCTCCCTCTTCTTCTCACATCTTCTACATATGCTTCAAGGAGTCGCCATTGTTGCTTCTCCCCCTGTGTCATCCGGTTGTAATGTAAGAAAATTAAAAAGTAGAAGTCCACCATTGAAGGCCATTCAAAGTTTCGCTTTCGAAAATAGGATTTTTTGAGTTTGTTAGTTGCTTTGATTGGGTGTTGTTCCAATTGATTCAAAACATCAAAAGGAATTCAAAATTTAAATTTGAAGTGATTTGGAGTAGATTTGAGCAAGATTTAAGTTAAATTTTAGAAAAGACGCAAGGAAGAAGACGAAGTCAGTTTTTGTATAATGATGTATAATATTGTATAATAGTGTATAAACACCTCTTATACATATTTATACAAGCGTCTGTAGTAGGGCTGCTTAACGGGCGGATCAGACGGTTATTTACTCTTAACGGTTTGACTTATCGGTTATCGATTGTTAAATATATTAATCCGCTAGCCACCTAATAAGATATCGGGCGGAATGGTATCGGTTTAGCTATTATCGGGCGATTATCGGTTTAGTTTCAGTTGATTGAAATGATGACATTCTTCAGTGCCTTATAATGATTACAAACATTATAAATGCATTTTTTGTAACAGATGAATTGTATTTTCAACTATGATACTTAGCTTATGGCAATGATTGATATTAGTAGTATTAACCTAAGAGCTGTCATTGCTGGTTGTGGTTGAAGGTATTGTTGCTCCGTAAATTTCGTTGTAACTAGCTTGTGTCCTTTCTGCTGCTATTCTTCCGGATTTTGCTAAGAAAAGTTGACATGAAACTAGTTAGAAGTTGCAGTGTCTCCTGGCTTTGCTTTGGCTATATAGTAAACTGTTTAAAGTTAAAGTTTTGTAATAAAATATGAATGATTCTGGAAGATGGTAATCTTTCTGAAAAAATATATATATTCTTAACCGGTTAACGGATTATCCGTTAAGAAAATTGAATAATCCGCCCCCAAACCGATAAGCCGTTAATAAAAAAAATTCAATTTGTTCCCGCCCGTTAAATCGTTTACCCGATACCAATAAGCCATTAAATTTCAGTTTCGGTTCGGTTTTCGGTTTCGATTCACTTGGCTTAATGTGGAGGCTTTTTATTCTTTTTTTAATAATATACAAGTCTCTTGTTACACGCGTTGCGCGTGTACTTAATCTCCATAAATACCAAACTTTAAAAGATCACATAACTATTATATTAAATATTAAGTTTGAGTTATATATAAATTAAAAGTTAAAGGGTAAGTTCTTGAAAATTATAATTGTTAATCTTATTTTAACTAACTCAATAAAAAAAGAAATTATATCCCATTGAGGTTCTCTGTCATCTTAGTAGAGATATTCAACCTAAAAGTACTGACACGAATAAATTTTTTTAATAATGTTTACGTACATGTCCGATTTGTACAAACGTTTATTTTTTGGGCTGTTTAATTTCTTGAACAACAAATCTTTTTTTTTTTTTTAAATCTTTTTTTTTTTTTTTTTGATAAATAACTTTTGGCTTTGTCCATATTTTTGTGCGGAATGAGATAGTAGAAGGAGAATTAATATGCACAAAGTTGTGGACATAAATTAAGAGAGGAATATTAAAAAGATAAAAAACGTACCAAGAATATATAGTTTGAAATTGTTGCGTGTTGGTTTTTATCTCAAAATTTGATTATAACATATCTTATTTGGAACAGTAAAATATTAATGATTGAAGTCCTAAGTAGTAGCATTTAATTTGTATATAGTTTAAATAAGGAAAGATTTAATAATTAAAATTATAGTTAACTTTAAAATCCTAAAATTAAGGAAATAAGTAAATGACTATTTAGTCTAGTGTGAACTCTATTTTAAGAGGGTAAAAAAGGCGAACGATATTTCTCTAAGGGTCTTCGTACTTTTAATATAGTATAGATAGATAGATTATGCGATGTAGTTATAAATTTATTACCTATTTGTAGGTAATTTTTACAAATTAGATTTGATAACTGATTTAAAGATTCGGGAATTAAATGATTATTTGTAAGAAGAGAATTGATAATATAAAGAAGGATGTAGATGATATGTTTTACCGTGAAAAAAGAAGAAGATAATTTGGAAAGTTACAAGATATTACACAAAGAAAAAATCAAAAACAAGAAAAGTCAATAAAGAATTTGAAAAGTTACAATATGATTCATATATATGATATCTTTAAATTTAAAAGAATGTTAAAAACTAGAAATAAAAATGAAGAAAAAAGCTTAAATCAGTAAGGGATAATTTAAAAAATATAAATGTATAGTGAGCATAGTTTTGTCTTGAATAAATTAATTTTCTGCCTCTGTGTAA